AAAATACACACACACACACGCACATAACTGAACAGGTTCCATTAGCATATACAGGTGAAAGGTGAGCCAATCAGTACTGTCTCTACTGTTATTCTGGCTGGCGCTAATGACGGGTGCGGCAAAATGTGACACGTATGAGAAATGCACTGCTGTTCTTGCTGGGACAATGGGCCACAATGAAGATGGATAGGCTCCAGAGATTACAGCGGCAATAATACAATGGTTCCAAAGTTTAAAACAAGGTGGGAAGGAGGTGCTCTAAATCTTGCCGTACTCCTGCTGTTAACCAATTTCACTGATGTGGTTCTATACACATTTGTCATTTGAAAATGGTAAATAAATACATTTAAAATTAGATGTAGCTAACTACGTTATCAGCCTGTGTTTGTGTGCTTTATGTAATGGAAGTTAAAGCTGGAAGTTGAAGGTCACAATGATAACAAAAGCTACAATATAAGAAAAGACATATTTGAAAACATGGTGAATAAAAGTACTGGCTTTTTAAAATTCAGTCAGAGACTGGCTGACCCACAGTCTGTTTGCATGATGCATACGCTGGTGATAAAGATGCTGGTTATCTCAGCTTTAAGATGTATTCCATTTCAAACAGCTGAGTTTGTAGGCCAGTGTCATTAACCCGGCATCATGAAAACCTCATTAAGGTCAAGTTCTTTCAAACCAGACTAGATGGAAATCAATGGTGTATCAGTGGTTTCGGGGGGGTGTGTAAGCAAGTGTGCACATTCCCACCTTCAAGCCTGACCACCAGTGGCACCTTCAGCTCCAGCTCTCGACAGGCCTTGGTGATGCCGTTGGCAATGATGGCACAGTTGACGATCCCACCAAAGATGTTGACCAGGATGGCCTCAACCTGTGAAAGTACAGAGTATGAATACATGATTAAATCCAGGGCTGGAGACACACGAGAACGAAAAGCAATCTGAATAATGTGATAGTTCGTATCGTATTTGTAGCACTATTAGCACTAAGCCCTGAAATGCATTTGGAAAGTGGTATTGTGCAAAAGATGTACATTTGTAAAGTCTAACATTCATTATAAACAAAGCTTGTCCAAACTGAAGAACAAAACAGTCAATTATTGACAAATCCTTTGCAAAGGTCTCACAGGGACACTGGTATATGTCCAGTAGAGCTGGAAAGATGCTTCGCAAAACAAAATGTTTCAAGATTCTCACTACTGAGGAAAACATTTAGTACAGCAGCCTCAACACCAACTTCATGTACAGAATGGTCGTGCACCCTGAGGCTATACAACAATGTCACACTGGAGGCAGAACAAAGCAATACATTGTTGAAGTTAAAAGGGCAGCAGCAGGTGAAAGAGGAAACACTGGTGCCAAATAATAAAGCAATATTTCAATGGGAAGTGGTGACATGACAAACAACATAAGCTACACACCTCCCTGGTTTCATAAAACTTCTAATGTGGCTGAGCCATGTATCAATTTTAGCCTTTAAAACTAATTTACATACCATGTGTGGTAAAAAACAATCAGACTGGCTGGTAAAAGATCGAACAGACACACAGTAGTCAGCAGATCCAATACTCTCTCACAAATGCTGAGACGTCCTTTGCTTTCACACTACCACGTTTCCCAAAAGGCTATCAAGAACAAACCTTTGAGTTTTGAACACGCTAAGTTGTGCCAAACAATCTCACTGTGTACTATGTTCACTCGAGCTGTCTTGCAGTTTCTTTGCAAAAGATATCTTCAACTGTCTTACAAAATGAGCACAAAACTGATATCACTAAGTAGTGAAGCAAAGCAGTTAGTGTGTGTGTGTGTATGTGTGTGATTACACTAACAATCTAGCACTCAGTAATTACCCTGGCTAGCTCAGTGGAAAAGTAGACTGAGAGCACACAGGATTAATCCTCCATGTTTGTTTATAATCACTGCTAATCTGTTAGCGCCGATTTGGATGAGCAGCTTGTGGGTGTGTGCATGTGTGCGCCTTGTGAATGTGTATGTTTTCAATGTGTGGTAATGATGTTTATAGGGAGAGAAGATCAAGGACTTGGATAGCTATCAGAGCGACAGCCATGGCATTGTCCTCTATGTTCTATCCAAATGAGCATCTCCTTATAAACAGCAGAGAACGACACAAGACCAGGAGAGAGGTCCAAAACAAACACAGACGTAGGCAGTGGCATAAAGACTCATACGCCATGCAAAGAAATTGAGCAAGCTGTTGGGTCAACACAGAGTATTATTTCATGCTGATTAAGTATATCACACAGGGCTGTGACCAGGAATGCAAAAAAAACAAGGGAAAAGGCAAGCAAACATTAGCCCCTAAGTGCACGTGAACACGACTCAGATGTTCAAATGAAAGAAGAAACAAAATGGATCATAACCTCCAGATTACATAAGTAATAATACATCATGAGGTGTTCTAATATATTAAAATAATGGATGAGGTGGAGGACATGGCAGGACTCATCAGCAGACCCCAACAGAATCTTCACAGTATTGTAATTTATTTATTTATTTATTTATTATATTTTCAGGGGTGATCCAGAATGAAAATCTGCAGAATTTAGGGTATGTTTTTTTTTTTTTTGCTTTTAATGTGACAGACAGCATTCATAACAAAGACTGTTTTTGAACAACGATAAGCACACACAATATATTAAACAAAAACCTAAATTACCTCAAGCACGCTGATAGAAATAGCCTATTTAGTTGATGGACATTTTATTTCATTACAAACCGCTCAAAACGAGGTGTCAACATTTGCTGGAAAAGTCAACCAGCATAAAATAAAGGACACCACAAAAGGCACTGTGAAGCAAAGACAGAAAAATTAATTTGCAAAAGAATTAACCATTAATCTACAAACAAATACATAAATAGATAACTGGTAAGGTGCTTGACCGCAACCTCACAAAATATCTTTCCGAAACCTTTAAAAACAGCAAAAACACGACACTCAAACATAAAATCTGTGGAAAATCTTCAGAGGTGTCATCGGAATTCTGTGCAGATTCAGAGCGGGCCAGCTCATCAGATTTTCTCACTTACACAAGGGCCACCAAAGATTGTTTTCTAATTATTATCCATTGTGTAAAATTTTGTTGTAATCAATTTGAACCAAGCTAGGGTCATTTCAGTGAGTTTGTATTGTCAGTATAGTTACTTGCAGTTTAATGTTCTGTTCTCATTCAGACTAATAAAATGAAATTAAAACTTGCTTTTGCAAAAAAAATATTATTCAGATTTGTGCATAAAAGTGTCAATCATATTTTAACTCTGTTAAGGGCCCCTCCAGCGATCTAGCATTGCACCTTTATTAAGTTAGGGAAATACGAGACAGATTACTAAATGAATAGTCAAATTCAAAGCAGCATAAATATCCTGACTTTTAGTCCCTGGTGTGGATCCAGCTAGAAAAAAAAAACACTCAAGCCTACATTTTCCACAATACAACACAACAGCATCTATCGCTTCACACTCCCTACCTGGTAAATGCCTACATTTTTTCAAATTCCACATCTTAAGTTTGTACCATGGGCTTTCTGTTAAAATCCAACACAAGATTAGATAACCCTGATGACCAACAGGGTTATTTTCTTAGACTTAAGAAAGCGTTAGAAAGAGCCACTGAAGAACTCAAAAAAACTGTTTTCACAGGATGATTAGTACTCCATGTGACAACTAAACACATCGTGTAAAATTGGTGGAATGCCCCTTTAATGTAAGCTGGCTATCATATTTAAAAGGACAAGTCAAGCCTGAATGTGCCCATGCTGTTAACTTAATGAAGGGACACACTTACCACACACTGATGGCAACCCAGCAGGCATGAATGTGGGTGATCATAGCTTCCAGGTGCACAGCCAGATGTACTTACAGCCGCACCCAGTGCTACTACAGATAAATGTGCAGTCAAAGAATGCTACAGTCACACACTTTTTAAAGAAAACTACTATATTATTGGTATAGTCTACTCAGTGACAGGCATGAATGTAAATGTGAGAAGAGTGGCAGGCAGTGAAAAGATTGCATGAAAGTTGAGCAGTGGGAAAATGGCAAGCGGAAAGAAAGAGGTGTGAAATGATACCGGCTTGTTGGTTCTCAAACCTCAGACGTGTATCGAACAGTTCTTCTGACAGCCTGTTAGGCACGATATGCAGTGTGTGTGTGTGTGTATGTGTGTATGCATTTGTGCTGCCTTAGGGGACATGTGTGAATGTGGGTTTATCCACTGTCCTGTGCAGGTGTGGCCCACAGCGGGGGCACAAGGTCAATATGGCCACTGCCACTACAAATTTGTACACAGCCAATTTAAAAATAAATGAAGGAGAAATGCATATCTAGAGGTTGAATATTATTGACACAATCCTTATGCTTGAGGATGTGTATGTAAAGTACATGTAACTATGCATCTATATACACACAATGTTGCTTCCCGTCAAAGATCCTGTGAAATAAAGATACTTGGATGAAATGACTGGAGATAAGGGTGTTTGTAGCTGCATTATTATCACACACAAACTGCAATGCACTAACAATGGAATGTATTTAATTCAACAGTGTTGATCGATTGGTTGGTGCTCATGTTAGATAGCAGACATTGAGCATCAGCAATATGGGATTTGTGATATTGATTTATGTACGTAATGGTGACTATAGTATCACAGGGTTTGACTCAGGGTCTCACAGACAGACACACAGCATAATCTGGCTCCCACTGGGGGGCAGCAGAGATTTAGATGCCTTTTTGCAGCCTCACTAGAGACAGCTCTATTCTCACCCTATATGCAGCCCATTTTTCAACTCTGTCTCTATTGGGAAGAACCATATTTCTTCCATTCATGCGTCTACTATTGACACCCATGTATATTAATGATACATAAGACATGATTTATGTAGCTTGGCACAGAAGTAAATGCAGTTTATAGAAATATGGATGTGGCGAGGACTGAGTTGCACTTTGCTGAAAGTTAGTTTTTTTCCTTATAATTTCTCTGTTTTGGTTTACAAGCAAGTGTACACCCTGAGGAACAAACCGACAACCAAAAATAAGACTTAATAAGTATAAGACATTTGACGTTAAAGATCTACCACTTCTGCCAGTTCAAAGTAAAGATCACATATCCAGAGCTACCATGCGCGCACACACACACACACACCTCACTGTAATTTGAAGAGAGATAATGTGATACTGTGTGCCCAGAGGGAACACAGCCTTAAATTGAAAATATGCAGAGACACTGGAGGTAAAAGAGCAGAAAAAGCAAAAATGTGTGCATCTTATCCATCCTCCTAATCATGTTCTCTCCTGGGACAGCTCATTCAGTTCTAAAATGCAATATATACTTTGGTTAAGCATATTGACCCTCCTGTGGTAGACTGTGCTGTGCACATTATATTTAAAACAAAATTGCTTCTTTTTTGCAAGGTACTGGTCTGTAGGGGGGTTAAAATGCCATGAAAGAATGGAAGTCAAATTTAGGGTCAATCTCCTTGGTTTGATGCCCTCTCCAATCAAAGGTCTAACATTGCTCTGCTCCATTCAGCTCACAGCATCTCAGAAATCTAGCCTTAAGGTATGATATAGCGCTGCACTCTCCAATCTGTCTAAATTCTCCAACATCACACTGTGTAGCATTTTACCTCCAGTCACAGAACCAAGTACAGCCTCCTTCCTTAAAAGCATTCATTTCAGGTGAGCTAACTTGGCAATGGGGTGGATTTCTTTCATCAGAGCTCAGCATAAAGGCATCAGGTGTAATGTGCCAGCTCGGTCTTCTCACAGGATCTTTGTGTGTTCTTTCAGGCAGTGTTACGGCATGAGCCGGTGCCTTCTTACCTGGGTGCTGGTGAAATGATTCAGATTTTACAA